GGGTTGGTCCTGGAGGGGCAAAAGTCCATTCAGACCCCCACCCCCACCCCACCTCCCCGCAACCAGAACAGAGTCTTTGGGGCGCATGAGATGGACCGGAGAGGGAGTTTCCATAGCCAAGCCAGGATTTGAACCCAGACCTCCCAAGTCCTGTGCGGGTTTCTCTCTCTCTGTATGTGTGTGTGTGTGTGTATTTGTGTGTCTGTGTGTTTGCTGTAGCCAGGGCACGCTCTTTCTTGCCACCCTGGTGACACCCGCTGCAAAAATAAAGCCAGCTGGTATGGGAGAGAAAGAAGGCCAGAGGAGAAGGGGCCCCGATCCGCCCGGGTCTTCTCTGCCTTGACCGGATGGCTGCCAGGCGCTGGGCTGGCCTTTAGAAAGAGAAGGGACTTCCTGGAAACGGCAACACGGATGGAGGGGTGGATTTCACGGGTACCCCACTTCCCCATTAAACGGGAGGGCTCAAGGCGGCTGATCAAGGGATTAATAGAAGGAAAAGCAGATCAACTCACATTCGGCCGAACCCTTCATAAAATAGTAGAAACCTGCCCCGTTCTAATAAAACCATAAATACTGTATTGGCAAAATGCATCAAAAGATGCAGATTAAAACCAGCGTCCGCGCTGAAACATCCGATGGTGGTCTAAAAAAGGTGTGTTACGGCTCCTTGTCAGCCGTCCGGAGTGGAAAGAGATGCTGCAGCTTTTGAAGGTGGGAGGAAACACCTGGGGGCAGGTAAGGGGAGGCGGGAGGCCCAGGTGGCTATGGGGCAGAAGCGGCTGTGATGGAGCCAGGGCGGTGGGTCCCTTTGAAGGAGAAAAGTGGGGCAAAAGGACTTTAAATAAATAAAATGAATGGGTTTGTCTGTCTGTCGTTTGTTTAAAAACATTTTTACCTCTCTGTTCTCGTTAAAAGGACTCAAGCCCAGTCCAGGTGCTTTAGGGTGGAGCAGAGGGGTTTTATGTCATCCCCGCCCCTCATTGCACGGAGGCGTCTCGTGAATACACTGATAAGGGAAATGCTGTGGGTCTGTCGTAAGCCAGAATTCTTACGGGTCGACATGGAGAGCTTAGATGTGGAGAGCTAGAGGGTCCCCAAAAGGGTGATCCAGCCCAGCCCTTGTTAAGGAGGCCCGGCCGGGATTCGAACTCCCAACCTCGCACTTGCTTAAACCACTGAGCAATCCAGCCAGACCAGCTAACAAGTCATGGACCTTCCCTCGTGGTTTGCTTATTGC